TACCAAGTGACTTGTTTCATGATCTCAAGGTGAGAATTAGATAATTTAAGTAGTCAAATGTTGTTCTAGATAAGCCATAGGCACTTCATTGTTCTATATAATATAGAAATCGTGTAGAATTATAATATGTACACTTGTAGATCTGTAATTGAATAAGAATCAAAACACAACACAGATTACTTATGTCAACCTTTAATTTCCTTTCAGCTTTTACTATTTCTCCAATAAACCTGACGTACCACAAGCCAGGCTTGTCTTTTGTCAGTACAGTAAAAGACAGTTTAACAACCATCAACTATGGCCGAGTATGGGGGCTCAGGCAGCCCTGAGGACAAAGACCATGCCGTCCATGAACAGACACAATACACACAGCAACAGCGGATAATCACTCTATCCCAGAAAACAGAGGAACAGTTCCAGGAAACTGTTACTAAGCTTTCCAGGCAGCTTTCACGCATCGAATTGGACATTGATGAGGTATTGGTTATTGATAGCTCAACCATAGACTCAGCTCGCCTCCATGAAGCGGAGACACAAGTTCAAGCATTATTTGATCAATACACGCAAGTTTCAGACAGGTTCTTGAAATACCTCACAAGGCAACGATCGCACAGCAGCCTTGAGGCAAAGTCAACACCTCTGTTGAATCGTGAATCTGTTGAACTTAAAGTTAAACAAGCTCTAGAAAAATTCAACACATACAAGTCTGTGGAGAGCAGTAAACTAGAGATTAAGGAGACTGAAGTGAAACACAATACCAGAACTGAGAGTAAGAAATTAAGATCAAGTACTGAAAAGAAAAGTAGATCAGCCCGTAGCAAAAAGAGTTCCTATGAAAGCAGCGATTATTCATCATCGACACGATCAACAGTCCTGAAAAAGCGTTTGAAGGCCACAGCAGTCAAGGTTAAGACTCAGTATGAATACGAGGTGAGGGAGACAGAGCTTAAGAAAAATCAGGCCGTGGCAGAAGAAGAAGGAATTAAAGCCCAAGCTACTGCAGCAAGGAGAAGGTTGGAGTTACAGGCAGATCTTGATTTACTTGCAAGAAAGAAGGAAGCAGATGTGGCCGCGGCTGAACTTAAGGTCTTTGAGGATGATGGGTTTTCGGAAGATGACGCGTCAAGTTTGGATCAAGACGATGTGAATGAAAGGACTCAGCAGTATGTTGACAACCAGAACTCTTTACGCCAAAACATGGCGGCAAATACAAACAATGTTGCCATTGATATTAATCCCACAGTCAACAGTGAGAAGCAAAGGACATTCTGGAATCCTTCTGCTGCCCCTTTCTGCCCCAACGAACCCAACTCTCAGACCCAGTGCTTGTTGGGCTTCACTCAATTCTTGATGAAGAAAGATATGATTATATCCAGGCTTTCACAGTTTGATGACCTACCAGAGAATTTCATATCATGGAAGGCTAGCTTCAAAGATATTATGAGGGAGGTAGGAGCTAACCCCGCTGAAGAACTAGACATGTTGGTTAAATGGTAAGGTCCTATGTCGTCGCGACATGCAAAGAGCATTCGGGCCTCCATTGCTGGTAATCCTCAGCAGGGTTGTCAAGAAATATGGAACCGACTTGATGAGCAGTTTGGATGCCCAGAGGTGATAGAGTTGTCACTGAAAAAGAAACTGGATAATTTTGGAAAGGTCACAGTAAAGGAGCCTGAAAGACTGTATGATCTACTGGATATTGTAGCTGAGATCCACACAGTGAAACAAAACAACAAGTTCAATGGAATCCTGTCATATTATGATTCTTCCCTTGGAATAAATCAAATGGTTTTGAAACTACCTCCAAGACTACAATACAAATGGACAGACAGAGCCGCATCGTTTAAGAAATCACATGGTAACATTTATCCACCATTTGGATTCTTTGTGAGTTTCTTAAAGGAAATGACATCCGTACTTAATGACCCGGGCCTGATGATAGCTGTTCAGGACAATTCGTCTAGCAATGCACGTCGTTTTGACAATCCACGACCACAGCGTACCGACGCCACCACACGTACAAATGTTAAAGTGAAAAAGACTGAAGTGAAATGCAATTCCCAACATCGAGACAGTATGTCAAATGAAGGTAGATGCATTCTCCACGACTCAAACCATACATTAAATGAATGTAACAAATTCAGACAGAAATCATTAACCGAGAGAAAGAAGCTTCTCACAGACCACCATTTCTGTTACAAATGCTGTAAGTCGAAGTCACACATATTCAAAGACTGCCAGGAAGTAGTTTGTTGCAGTGTATGTCATAGTAATAAGCACCCTTCCGCACTCCATCCCACTGAGAGTCGCAACAAGCCTGTGCAGGATAAGCAACAAATGCAGAAGCCAAGTCATGGCGAGGAGGAATCGGTCTCAAGCCAGTGTACTAAAATATGCGGAAAGGGCTTCAGTGGGCGCTCGTGCGCTAAGACACTTCCTGTCAAGCTTCATCCCGTTGGGGAACCTAATAGGTCAAAAACTGTTTACGTCATCTTGGACGACCAAAGTAATCGGAGTCTCGGTCGGTCTGATATCTTTACATTCTGGGATATTCCATGCAGTGGTCCAGAACCGTACACAATGGTGTCCTGCGCGGGAAGACAACCTACAGATGGGCGTCGTCTTAATGGTTTAGCAGTAACATCCATGGATGGAGCTCACACCATGAACTTACCTACAATAATTGAATGTAATGAAATTCTAAACAATAGAGAGGAAATTCCTCCGCCACAGGTGTCTACCTGGTATCCACATATGGCAGACATAAGGTTCCCTCCCTTGCTACCGGAAGTAGAGATCCAGCTTCTCATTGGGAGAGATCTCCCTGAAGCTTTCCATGTGGCAGAACAAAGGACAGGTTCAAACAGTGATCCCTTTGCCCAGAGACTAAAATTAGGCTGGGTTGTTGTCGGCGAAACGTGTCTGGGTAAAACACACAAAACAGGGAACGTCTATGAAAACCAACATTCTCCTCGATGGTAGATCTACCTGGTTTAGTGAGTGTGTCAACAAGATTCAGGTGAAGGACTCGCCTGATCTTTGCAAAGATGTATTTCTGCGCTCCCGAGATGACGATAAGCTAGGATTGTCTCGAGAGGACAACCTCTTTTTAGAAATCATGAAAAGGGAGTTCACTAGAACCTCAGATGGGTCCTGGTCGGCACCACTTCCCTTTCGCGAGCCGCGTCCTCGTCTCCCGAACAACAGACCACTTGCTCTTCAGAGAGCTCAGATGTTAGATGCTAGCTTAAAGAAAGATCCTACTAAACGGGGGCATATGGTTGATTTCATGAAGGATGTAATCGACAAGGGTCATGCAGAAATCGCCCCTCCTCTGGATGAGGATCAGGAGAGATGGTACCTTCCACTATTTGGAGTATACCACCCTAAGAAACCTGGAAAGATCAGGGGGGTGTTTGATTCATCGGCAAAATACGCAGACATATCTCTTAACCAAGTACTGTTGAAAGGGCCAGACTTGACCAACAACCTTCCCGGGGTACTGCTTCGCTTCAGGAAAGAGGAAGTTGCAGTAACTGCTGACATACAGCAGATGTTTTACTGTTTTTCGGTCAGACCGGACCATCGCGATTTTCTACGTTTCTACTGGTACAGAGACAATGATCCATCACAACCCTTGATAGAATACAGGATGACCAAACATGTGTTTGGTAATGTCCCATCTCCCGCCGTGGCTATTTACGGACTCCGGAAAACGGCAAATGAGGCTGAGGTCGATTACGGTAGTGATGTCCGCGACTTTGTAGAAAATAATTTCTATGTCGATGACGGCTTAATCTCGGTGCCTACACCAGAGGAAGCAGTAAGCCTCATCACTCGCACTCAAGCAGCCTTGGCTACGGGTGGCATTCGCTTACACAAAATCTGCTCCAACTCCCAAGAGGTTCTGGACAACTTTGACGCAAGTGATCTTGCCCAAGACTTGAAGGACCTTGGGTCTATGTTGGGGATTACATGACGATGCATTTACATTCAAAGTGTCAAAGACCTCAAAGCCATACACACGTCGCGGAGTACTCTCAACTATCAATTCCCTTTTCGACCCCCTTGGGTTCTTGGCCCCGGTGACAATCCGAGGAAAAGTTTTGTTGCGCAATATGATTGAAGGAACGGTCGACTGGGACGAATCACTTGCAGAAAGACAGCGTAAACAGTGGGAAGGTTGGGAGAAGACACTTTCGCATCTCGAATCTGTGACAATTCCGCGTAGGACACCTATTTCTAAGAGCGATATCTCGAATGAGGTGCACATTTACGCCGATGCGTCAGAACAAGCCATAGCGGCTGTGGCATACCTCGTGACCATTGATGCTGAAAGGCAAGTGCACATGGCTTTCTTGTTGGGGAAATCTAAGGTTGCCCCTAAACATGGACATTCGATACCGCGATTGGAGCTGTGCGCAGCTCTACTTGCCGTTGAATTAGGGGAGACCATATCTGAGCAGTTGTCATTACCACCTGAACGCATGACCTTCTACTCTGACAGCAAGGTTGTCTTAGGCTACTTGAATAACCGTGCCAGACGGTTCTATGTCTACGTTGCAAACAGGGTCAGCAGAATTCTCAAATTCACAAAGTCGGAACAGTGGTTTTACGTTGAATCGGAAAACAACCCCGCAGATCATGGCACTCGGTTTGTGCCTGCCTCACAGCTGAAAGACAGCATGTGGATTTTGGGACCACACCAACTCTGTCTACGATCGCAGTTAAAGGAAGAATCCTTTCCCCTGATGGAACCATCACAGGACGAGAACATTCGCCCCGAAGTCGTTGCCATTAAGACTCAAGTCGTACCTACCCCAGTAACTGATCTCATATACAAGTACTCTGATTGGAGGAAATTGATTAGGATTGTGTCTTGCGTGATGTATGCCGTAGAGTGTTTCAAATGGCGACGCAGAAATGCCAAACCTTGTTGGCGCAAAAATTCTCAGGAACTGTTGCACGCTGCAGAGACATTTATCATAAGAGAGGCCTAGATGGAAATGTATAGCCTTGAAGTCGCAGCGCTTAGACAAGGGAAACCTGTGCCAAAAACCAGTTCCTTGATGAAGTTGTGCCCTTCTCTGGGTCCTGATGGACTTCTACGAGTAGGCGGTAGACTTGATATGTCGGACTTGGGAGAAGGTGTCAAACATCCGGTTCTCATTCCAGGGTCACACCAGATCGCCAGTGTTATCATTAGACATTTTCATGAATCTGTTGCTCATCAGGGGAGACACTTCACAGAGGGAGCAGTTAGGGCCGCTGGCTTCTGGGTAACTGGTGGTAAACGTCTGATTTCGCTCCTCATACATCGGTGTGTCAAATGCAGAAGGCTAAGAAGTCGTCCCTGCACTCAAAGGATGGCAGACTTACCTCTCGATAGGGTTGTGCCCTCGCCTCCATTCTCCTTTGTGGGAGTTGATGTTTTCGGACCTTGGGAAGTTACTTCTCGACGCACCCGAGGTGGTGTTGCTGCCAACAAGCGCTGGGCAGCATTGTTTACTTGTATGTCAACAAGAGCTGTTCATATCGAGGTGCTAGAAGAGATCAGCTCCTCCTGCTTCATCAATGCTGTCCGAAGACTGTACGCCATACGCGGGAAAGTGAAACAATTCAGATCAGACAGGGGAACTAACTTCGTTGGGGCAATATCGGATCTTGGAGTCACAGTTATAGAAAGTAAGGATGTGAAGGACTTTTTGTCCTCCCAAGGAACAACGTGGGTGTTCAACCCCCCTCATTCCTCCCACTTCGGAGGTGTATGGGAGCGCATGATTGGGGTAACTCGCAGGATCCTGGACGCAATGTTGCTGGAAGGGAGAGGGAAAGACCTTACCCATGAAGTCCTCACCACCCTCCTCGCGGAGGTAGCCGCCATCATTAATGCGCGCCCCTTAGTGCCGGTTTCATCTGACCCAGAGCAGCCATTCGTCTTATCACCCTCTGTACTGCTTACTCAAAAATCAGAAGGTCAGGTTGAGACCTTCCAACATCTGAGCCTTAAAGACATGTACCATTTGCAGTGGCGTCAGGTCCAAGTTCTCACAGAAAGATTCTGGTCACGATGGAGGAAAGAGTACCTGGCTACCTTGCAACCTAGAAGGAAGTGGCAGGAGAAAGAGCGGGATATCAAGGTCGGTGATGTAATCATAATGAAGGATTCGCAGGCAATACGGAATGACTGGCCATTGGGAGTCATTACACGCGTGATCCCTAGTACTGACGAACTAGTACGTAAAGTTGAACTTCGCGTTGTCCGCGATGGAAAGATCTCAAACTTTATCCGTCCTGTGGCAGAAGTTGTGGAACTTATTCCCAGAGATTGAGATGACAGTGTGTCATTCATCAAGCTATAAATGTAATTAAGTGCCTTGACTGTAGTGAATGAGAACACGGACAACTTTCACTTATAAAACGTCAAGGCAAATCTTGTTATTTTGCTGTTCAAATTGCTTTGTGTTTATTTTGGTTAAAAAGCAGGTGAGCAATGTTATATAATTTATAGCAATGATAGTGATATATACATATCAGGCGAGGAGTGTGCTGGAACTATTATCAGTCTTCACTACTTAGGTGCATGATACCTATAGGAACGCTCCTTATTGAGTTATAGCCCTTTGCTATTTTCGGATTTCCGCTCTAGTTCACATGGGGAAAAACGAAAGCAGATGTTTTCTGACCAAATATTGTCCATCTATCGGCTATATTGTGGCCCATACTGTGTAAGTTTACATAAATAATTGAATTTATTGTCCATAATAACTGTAATTAAGTGGTAAAGCAATACAATTAGTAATTTAGGTATGTTAACACACTTTGTGTCGTAGCTTGAAGCGGTAACTTAGCCTCACATGCCTAAGGGGCTCATTTCTACGATTCGATTTGGTCATAATTGCTGATTACTAGTTTAGTTAGCCAGGTATATTATTAATTTTGTTCCGTTCTTGGTACATTAACATAATTGCGAATATGTGACATTAGTGTTGGTGCAGTACACATGTAAGAAATATTAAGGATACTTGTCCCTCATTTTTACGAAAATTACCAAGTGACTTGTTTCATGATCTCAAGGTGAGAATTAGATAATTTAAGTAGTCAAATGTTGTTCTAGATAAGCCATAGACACTTCATTGTTCTATATAGTATAGAAATCGTGTAGAATTATAATATGTACACTTGTAGATCTGTAATTGAATAAGAATCAAAACACAACACAGATTACTTATGTCAACCTTTAATTTCCTTTCAGCTTTTACTATTTCTCCAATAAACCTGACGTACCACAAGCCAGGCTTGTCTTTTATCAGTACAATTTAAAAATGGGGCAAAACCACAATTGGCCGGGTAGTGGAATGAGTGCAATGCTATATGGTATTAATAAGACAATTAAGGGTGTTTCATTTGTTGGGTATGTAGAATATTTGTTATAAGAGAGAAATTTTGGTTGTATTTTATGAATTGGTGCAGAATGAGGGCATTTGAGGAAAGAAGTTGTAGCCATTTTTGATTCGGAGATGTCAAAAAGATAGTAGTTTATCCTGACTCTATCATGTACTGTAAAAACATTAATTTTCGTGGCTGATTCTTTTCCTTGCTATCGTTGGTAAAATGAAGTCTGAAATTTATATGTCCATGAGCTGTTATATCTGTCCACGTAATCAAAAGGCCACGATTTTTTCTCAAAAAACCACGAAAATATGCCATGTACGTAATCACTGGTTGCAGTCATCACAACTTTAATCCTTTTCGTTTCATTCGAATAGTGGTATGGTTAAGCAAATACACATGTAATTGGCGTTGTTCTAAAGTTATCTGATATATAAGTATCACCAAATGTATTTATTTATGGGGCTACTCAATCTCCTTCCCTGGATTTTAACTTTTCTTATGATTACTTTGGATTTTTCGCATTCGTCTCCTAGGCATTAAAATTCAGACCCAAAGCATCACAGTATCTAACTCTAAATTTGTGTCAAACGGTGCGATTCACTTTGTGCGTTTTTAGTACACTACTTCAAGACATGCCTTGCATGAGTTTCTTTGTGTTTACACTATGCAGTGCTATATGACATGCTTGACAAAATCCTCATCCATTGAGGAAAATCGATACCGAGTCATATATATCTACTCATTTATGGTCGGCTATATCGCTTTATTCTTCAGTTAGTAATTTATTAGCAAACACAAACAGAAACGTATGCATTTAACTTTTTTATCGTTTAAGTAATTGTTGTCGTCTGAAATTTATAGTTTCACTGTATGACAAAGTGGAAATCAAGGAGAGTCACACAACCACTCAATTGTACGATCCCGATTTTGGTTTGATGCGCGACATATTCAATTTTATGCTGATAACAACTTTGCGTTGTTAATCATTGTTGTCTTGTTTCCGCCCTGATAAAAGCTGTATGAGTGAAATAATATCTATAATGATAATTATAGATGATAATACATTATCTTCATTTTGATAATGATTTTATATGAGATGTGATCGTTGTAAAATTAGCCTGACATAAGTATAACAAAACTTCTCTATCCCTTGTGATAAGTTATAGGTCCGACATGTTTTACTGTGATACTGACAACTTATATTCAGTGACTCGAATTTAGAAATGTGCTGAAACTTGGACATGATACGCAATGCGTTATTTTACTGCGTTCAATATATGTAAAACCACATCACCACAGTGTGTAGCCAATGTCACATTGAATTAAACTAAGGGAAAAACCCTAGCAGATCGGGATGAACATGTGTTGTATATTGGCACAAAAGAATAACAAAAGCATGTAACAATTGACATAAACTTGATGAAGGAAGTCCAAAACAAAACATTAATATTATAGTAGATTAAAATATAATCAGTTTTTATTTTTTATGTATCGTTACTTACTTACTGTATCTGTATGTTTGCAGGCAAAGCAATAATGAAACGAAGCAAATATATTTGCCTAGAAGTTTTAAAGTGATGTAATATTCTATTTCTTTTTTTAATACTCAGATTTTGGCTCTATTTTCCTCTAGCCGGTTGATATAGTCTATCATCATGTACATTCTTTTTTTCCAATCGGTATTTTATTACTCGAAAAATAAATCAACATAGCACATATTGTAAATAGTTAAGTAAAATGACAGATTTAAAGTGCAAAGTGAAAGATTAGTATAAGTTGTTCTGTTGTAAAAGGTGTACCAGGCTAAGCTAGTCCATAATTTGGTAATAATACGCGCACATGCTCGAGGATATATGGATTAAATTTGATGGAATTAACGATGCTCATAAACTCGTCTGGGTATAGCATACAGAAGGATTTCAGCCTATATATGCACATGCATGTTTATTGTATAATCAGATAAGTAATCATTCAAAGAAGATTGCATCTGCTTTTGTTAAAGGCTACAGGAGTAAGTTGTTTTCAGTTAGCCTACGGAGTATATTGTTTACAAAAGGGGTCATTTCAAAAGAATTATATTGTTTTTTCATTGACTATGGAGGGGTCGTCTCAAAAACTTGGTACAGTTCTACTATTTCCTGAAGATGTATCCATTCAGGTGTTAGCTGTTTCATCCATTTCTTAACCTGCAGCCTGTATTTAACTTCATTTTTGAACAATGACAAAATATTTGTATTCTTTGTTCTTTGCTCACGAGTGTAGTAGTGTTTTTAAATAATGTAGGCTATAATAGTAACGAGGTTATTTATCATTATATACATGTGGTTTTTGAAATCTTATAGCCTAGAATTATTGTTTACAGTGTTATTAAGGATTCATTTGTCACATGTAACTGTTTCATAAGGGTTCAACATATTTACAACTCACGAAAAAGTGATTCAAGTCTTCTGTTTCTTTACAGTAATTACAAAGAGGATTATCAGTTACATTCCATTTGTACAATAATTTTTTACATGGAATTATCATATGAATCAATTTCCATCTAAATTCTTTCAGCTTGTTTTCTTTTATAAATTTAAAAGTATGTTTAACTTCAGTTTTTGTAGCTTTGAACAATCTGACAGTTTCATTAAGTTTAAAGGTTCTGTTACCCTTGTTGATGGTATTGTTTCGTATATATCTCTACTTTGCAGTTCATGCAGCCTTATGTATTTGTGTTTATGTTGTCATAGAAGCGAAATGGACAGTCAATTTTCACTTGAGTCTTTCTACTATCTTCTTCTTCAAGAACCATCTTTTCAGTTTACTTATTTCTGATATCCAGTTTGTTTTTGTTTCCAATTTGGACAATATAAATTCCTCAGATATTTTTTGCTCTTGGTTAAGAATGTCTTCAACTGTTATTAAGTCATTTTCTATCCAATTATTGTAAACTAAACTTTTCCCTTTGTATTTAATGAATTGATTTCCCCATAATATTTGTTTTCTGATTATGTGATGTGTTGTTGGGAAAAAAAATTGTTGTTGACTATGTTTTATCCATGCATTTAGTATGTCTCGATAGAACTGAGGTATTCTTTCTGTCCTTTCTATACTTTTTTTCAGAATCAAGGTTCTTTTGAAAATTAGAAATTTTTTTCCATATTTCCCATAAACCCTGCTGGGGAGAGTCTTAACCCATTTAATTCTGAGCATTTCTATATGAGATTCAATGTCACACATGTTTAAGCCTCCCTCTTCAAATTTTCTTACCAAATCTGTTCTTTTTAGTTTTTCCCATTTTCCTTCCCATATGTACTCAAATATCATAGTTTTTAACCTTTTAATTAAAAGCTTTGGCTTGTGTATATTAGCTGCTTATATATGTTATTATTGGTATGATTAGTGATTTCACAATCTGAATTCTGCCTAGTATTGTAAGTTTTCTCTCTTTCCACTGTTGCAACTTTCCACTAATTTTTGATTCCATTTTTTCCCAGTTGAGCTCATCACAAAGATTCCTATTGGTACCAAAATATATTCCCAAAGATTTAATTGGTTGCTTCGAAAACTGAATTCCTTCATATACTGCTTTTCTCTTTTTCCATGATCATAACCACATTCCTTCAGTTTTCTTTTTGTTTAGCATTAGCCCAAAGTATTTACCATACTCATTAATTAGGTTGAGAGCCAATTTTATTTCAAAATTTGTTTTTAGGAATCTGCGAATTGGGAAATTACCTTATGTTTTTTTATTGTGTTTTGATTGTATAGGTATTTCTTTGAGGTATTTGTCCTCTCTTATTCTTATTGCAAGAATTTCCACAGCTATGACAAACATCAAAGCCGACAAGGGACAACCTTGCCTTGTTCCACGTGAAATGTTGATTTTTGTCGATAACCAACCCTTATTTAATATGTAACCAGAGACATTTTTGTACAGAGTTTTTACACATCT